GCGCAAGGATGGGGCTGCTTTAGACCCCGTGTGATAACGTCCTATGATTCTATGATCTCCTTTCTTCCTAAATGTCTTTTCTTTCCTTTTTGGACATCTTGCTCTGATCTTTTCCCACTTTCCATAGCCTCCAACTCTCTTACCAAATTGGGATAGTTAGAGGGTATGTTAATTCTAGTCCAAGGACATCACAAGATCAGCATCCAGATGGTTCCTCCAGATGGGGCCAGTATGTCAGGGAATTGCAGGAGGCTTACTGAAGCAAAAGGGCTGAAATAACTTTCATATCCTACTCTCCAGCTGGCTCAATTTAGTATGGACAGTCCCATTTAATCCTCTGCCATTCTACATTTTCAGGTGCTCTTAAAATGTCCCAGTTTTTCTCTCTTTCCTCTTCCTCTCCTCTTATGTTCTTGGTTTACTTCACTTGCTGCAAACTAACTTTAAAGTGTCTTGCACTTAGCTTCACAGGGCAGAAAAGAGAGGAGGAAGTGAAATATTGCCCTTCCCAGCCAACTCAGGCAAAAGAAAACTGCTGCAGCCTCTCCTACCTTACATGTTCTTCCCTATTAATAACTATTACAATTTTGACTACACTGTGATGTTGCTTGGCCACACATCCTGTTTTTTTGTCTGTGAGATGTTGGAGGGTATGGAAATGCAACATTGAAATACTGAGCAGAGTTGACTTTCAGTGTACAACAGAAGAGGGGGGTCTTTGGCTCTCCAATATACCCTGGATAGCTAGCTAACCATGCACATTACCTCACCCTTGTTAATGTTTTTGCAGAACTATATGGAATTTTTTACCTTTAAGTGTTCTTTTTCTTGGTCTGATTCCCTGTCATCCTTATTCCAACACTTTATCCCTATTTTTTGTCTGCAGTGACTTGGGAGTTTATCACACGGAGGCAAATACCATGCAGAAATGGGATTTTAAAAGCCGTAAAACACCCACAAGTGCGGGTTGTTTTTCAGATGCATTGTCAGAAGGAGAAATAATGCGAAAATAACCCGAATGGAAAGTCGACAAAATCCGCTCCTTTCTACTTTTGGAATTTTGGGGTTTGTTGGCTCTCCGTATGGGTTATTTTCTCATTATTTCTCTTTCATGCAAACGCCATCTCAAAAACAACCCACGTGTGCAGTTTTTTCTACTTTCTGTTCGGGTTAACCGAACATCACTTTGAATCTAGTGCACAGGATTCGTCCTGTGTGATAAACTCTGAAATCTGAATGTCTTTAGGGAGTCAGTTTTGTTGTCATTTTCAGCATTCAGCTTTAGTCAAATGACAGTCTTCAAAACTTGTTTTTCATATAAATTCTGATTGTATAATGTGTTCAACCATGTTTTAATATAATGGTTAGCTTATCTTATTTGAATCTCCTTGGATTCTCCTTCCTTGGGAGTATAAATCTGTACATGCAGAGTTATGTTTAACTGAAATGAAAGGTGAAATACTGACTGAACATTCATATCTGCATGCCCAATGGTTTCAGAGGTGCAACTCTGCTTCCTGACTCTTGAACCGATTAGAGACGTTACGCATCACATACATGTGCCCTACCACTTCCATAGGAAAAAAATTACACAGCATAAGACATCAGCAAATCTCCAGCCATTGCATGCCTTCTAACTGTCCCTATTTAGCAGGCACAATTGCAATTAATCCTCTGTCCTCCCACTTTTTCAGTTGCTTTTGTAATGTCCCAGTTTTTCCTCTCCTCCTCCCACTTTCCCCCTTAGTGCTCACTTTACTTCAGTTACTACCAACTGACTTCAAGGTGCAAAAGTAGTTTGTACTCAACTCTGCAGTGGAAAGAGGATGGGTGGTGGTGGAATCTTGCATTTCCCTATTAACTCAGGCAAAAGCAAACCGCCTCAGCCTCTCCTAATTTGTCTGTTCTTCCTCATTTAAACTCATTTAAAATGTAAACATCTTGACTACACTCTAGTGTCACTTGGCCACGTGTCCTAATTTTCATCTGTGAAATGTTGCAAGGTATGATTTTGAGTTTTGGCTTCAGGAGAAATGTCAACTGGACCCTCTACATTCGCTGGGTTTAGGGGCACAGGATTCCTGTGAAAGTGGAAAAACCGCAAATTAAAAACAACGCCGCTTTTGTTACCCGAGAGAACACCTCTCTACGAATCTCTCATTCCTCCAGTGCAGCTCTATGGTCAACATCTGCCACATTGACCATAGAATTGCAATGGAGGGCCTACAAATGCCTAGAGTAGTATTCTCTCTAGGAATTTCTAGGTCCTCCAGAGTGACTTCTGGCCGAAGTTGATTATAGAGTTATGCTGAAGGACCTAGGGGGGTTGCAGACTGCCAGAAATAGTGCAAATTGAGTCCACTTTTAGGGTTAGGGTTAGGGTTAGGGTTTATTGTGGCACCAGAACTCTGACAGAGAAGGCTCAATGTCTCAGGAAAAAAACAATTCCCATGATTCCCTAGCACTAACCCTAACCCTAAAAGTGGACTCAATTTGCACTATTTCTGGCAATCTGTGAATAATCAAATCTGTAAAAGTTAGAGCCACAAATCAGCCCTGGTGGCGCAGTGGTTAAATGCCTGTACTGCAGCCACTCACTCATAGACCACAAGGTTGCGAGTTCAATACCAGCCAGGGCTGAGGCTCGACTCAGGCCTGCATCCTTCCGAGGTCGCTAAAATGAGTACCCAGATTGTTGGGGGGCAATCAGCTCACAGTTGTAAACCGCTTAGACACCCAATAGTGTGGTATGAAGCGGTATATAAATGAAGCTGCTTTTGCTTTTGCAAATGTGGAAGGCCGACTGTCAATAAATAAATCTTT